GCTCAAACTCCGCACACCATACATCCCTGAGGCTCTGAGGGACAAACTCCCTTAAAAACATATCCAAAAACTGGGTCCATGAAAGGGATGCTGCCACGGTCGGACTGTCCAACTCAAAAGTATGCCACCATTGATATGCTGCTCCTCGAAGCTGGAAGGCAATGAAAGCAACCCCACTTGACCCTAATATACCCATAGTGCGGAGGATACGATGGCACTCCTCTAGAAATCCATGAGCATCCTCTGATGCTAGACCACTGAATGGAGGAGGTTTGTATATCTTGAACCTCTCAAGCTTCCGTTGCTCTTCCTTAAAAGTTGTTGCCCTATCCTCGGGATGAATTGGGGCTACGGTTGTTATGGGTATAAAATTTGGGATCCGATCAACCTGAACCTGCTGCTCTGGAGTGCAGGCGGCGGGAGTCTATTCTCCTCCCCTGGCCTGAGATGTGGCTACAGCAAGGGGAATCAACCCTGATTGATCTAGAGTGGTGTACATGCTCATAAACTACACAAGGGTCTCTTGGAGAGTTGGAGTAGTAGTGGCAGTAGGCGTATCAGGTGCCTGGGCTCTGGTTAGAGCTACTCGTGGTTCTTCCATAGTAGTTTGCGCGGGAGCTCTGGCTACAGCACATGCACATCCTCGGCCTCTACCCCAGCCTCAGCCTATGGTGGCTCTAGTAGGGGACGCGAGTTCCTGGTCATCTCCCATAGCACGTGTCCCCACCATCTGTGAGAGAATAGAAAGAAAAGGTTTAGAATTTTGGAATCAAGAATCTCGCACGACAAGGAATCAAATGAAGTGGAATTTTCCTAACAGTTACATAGCCTCTCGAAGATAATTACAAACATCTCAGTACCGATCCGCGAGACTCTAATAAACCGGTTTGTGATCCATGACTCCTAGGAACATAGAGCTCTGATACCAACTTGTCACGACCCAAGTTCTACCTCCATGAACTGTCGTGATGACACCTAGTCTCTATGACTAGGTAAGCCTAACAATTTGCCGAAAAATGAATTAAAGATACAAAACTAACAATTTAACTGGTAAGTGTAATAGAAGAGTTTAAAATGTCATTCCGCATATACAATAATAAAACTCTCGACTGAAAATAGTACTCCCAAAACTCAGAATCTCATAAATCAAAATCTAAAGAAAATACATAGAGTTCTAACTCCAGAAGTCTAAACAAAGGAAAATACAAGAAGTCCATAACTAAAGGGAGAATAAAGAGGGACTTTTAGGTCTATAGACACCACAGATATACCTCGAAGTCTCTGGATCACTTCGCCTCACAGATAGTATGGCTGAGCAGGAGAACCTGGATCTGCACACGAAAAACATGTGCAGGAAGGGGCATGAGTACACCACGGCGGTACCTAGTAAGTACCAAGCCTAACCTCGGTCGAGTAGTGACAAGATCAGGTCAGGCACCTATTGGTTATATATATAACAAGGTAAAATAGTATGAGATACAACAGTACAGCTAAAAATACTAACAGTCAATACAGAATAAAATCATAGAAAGAACTAACTCAGTACACAGAGATAGCAACGAGGGATCTCCCAGGATAACGTCCCGTAGTCCCAAACATAAATGTACAGAGGATCTCCCGAGATATCGTCCCGTGTCCAAATCGTAAATATGTAGGGGGATCTCACGGAATACCGTTCCGTAGTCCCAAAGTAAATATCCAATACAGGGGGATCACCCGGGACACCGTCCTATAGTCCCAAATGTAAACATGCAGGGTGATCTCCCGGAATACTGTCTCGTAGTCCCAAATGTAAACATGCAGGGGGATCTCCCAGAATAACGCTCAGTAGTTCCAAAGTAAATACACAATAGCCTTAACAAGAAAACCTACAATTCTATTCATGTTCGTATCAAAAGGTAGGTAATTCCTACTCTAAACATGCTATACAGAATCCGAGTAAGCAGTTAAAGCAGATAAGGTAGTTAAGTCACATAAGCATGTTTTCCTAAGCTAAACAAGAGGCTTCACATTATAGCATTTTCTCAATTAAATAAAAAACATAGATATTTACTTAATGAAAATGGGGGTTTTCAACAATCAACACGTATACACACTCATCACCTCACGTACACGACATTCATATAACAATAGTACCAAAATCCTAAGATGAGTTCCCCCACACAAGGTTAAGCAAGCCATTAACATCGAACCAAGCTCAAATCAATCCGATATCACGCTCTTGCCATAAGTATCCAACTCCAAGTGGCCCAAATTTAATCAAATCAATTACATAACGTAAATAAAACTACAAGCAACTAGTTTAACTAATGAATTTAAGGCTAAGACGAGAAAATAGGAAAATGCCCAACAATCATCTTTGGGCCCACGTCTTGAAATCCGACCATAGTCACAAAATCTGATAAGCCACTCGATTACGAGACTAACTAGACCAGTTTCACTCAAATCCGACTTCGATTCGGCATTCAAAACTTAAAAATCCATTTTTTGAAGTTTCTACAATTTTTCCTCCCAATTCTCTAATCAAATGATAAATCCAAATTATAGGGGTGGATTATATATTTGGGGAATATTTCCTTTTAGGGCGACGAGAAAGGCGATTAGAGAGAGAAAGTTGAGTTTCGAGCTCCCATGGCCAACCCGGCCGGTGGTCAGCCACCTACTGTGGCGGGGCCACCTCTACAACCACCCCTCAACAATCCCCAGCCATCGACGACCACAGATAACACCCAAAAACCAATGGATTATGCGAAATTTCTAAAGCCTCCGATGAACAGTACCATGCAGACTGCTGCTGCTGCATCTGTGGAACCAATTGCACCTCGACGAGTTAAAATCTTTCAGGGACAACCAACTGTGTGCTTTACTGAAGCTGAGGTTCGACGAATGAATATAATTGAAGGGCTTCAATATGCAATTGTGTGCAAATTCTCTTATGGTTGGCCTGACATCAATGAAATACGTCGGATAGTTCCATTGCAATGTGGAATTAAGGGTGAGTGTAATATTGGATTTTTATGTGACAGGCACATTCTAATTCGTATGACTTTATGGCAAGACTATGTTGAGTTTTCTTCAAAAAGTTTTTATCATGTTAAAGACAAGTATGGGGAGGAGTATCAGCTAAGGAACTTAATTTATGATGAAAAATTTAAAATTGGAGAGGAAACAACTAAGGTTATGGCTTGGATTTCTTTTCCTAATCTGTTGCCTACTTATTTTGTCAAAGAATGTTTATTTTATTTGGCTTCAGCAGTAGGAATTCCACAACACCTAGATTTGGCTACTATTAAAAAGTCGAGGCCTAGTTGTGCTCGTGTGAAGGTGTTGGTGAATTTACTGGATGAGCTGCCAAAGAAAGTGAGAATGGATATTCTTGATGAGGATTTAGGTTGTTTGAGAATGGAGTGGGTGAACATCAAATACGATTACATTCCTATATATTGCAAGGAGTGTAAATTGCAAGGGCATGATATGATGGATTGCTGGAGGTTACATCCTGAATTGCTACCAAAGAAATCAGATGAGAAGCAGGACATCAATGTGACTGACAAGGTTTCTAATACTCAACATGGTAAGGGGGCAGGTCCTTTGATGATCTTTTCAAGTGGTAAGGTAGTTGGCAATCCAAGTGCTCAATGGAAGGAGGTACGGGATAATAGAGGTAAAGCTAAGGAGAATGTAAATGAAGGAGGTACAAAAAATGGGAAAGAAATGGTGTCTGTTAAAACAAATGCTACTGTGACCATGAACAATCAGCAGGTGCAGATCACAAACAAATTTGCAGCACTAGGTGATGATGAATCTAATGAAGTGCAGGGTAAAGAGTTGGCAATCATAGAAGAGGTGCAGGAAATTAGTCATGTGGATGTTGCATCCCCCTCAAAGAAAAGAAAGCAAGGCAATGGCAAACATAATACTCAAAGTGGAAATGGTAATCAAATGGCAGTAGGTGAGGTGCAGACAACTCCGAGAAGTACAGCAGGAAGGAAAAAAGAAGCAGCATTTCAGCAAAAATAGCAGATAGGCAATGAGGGTGAAAAACTTAATCCTGCAGCTCCAGAGTTTAATATAAGTTCAGCTGGTGTAGGTTCAACTAATGGAGGAAGTGAGGCAATGGTTAATAAACCCAAGGAAACAACAGCTCAATGGGTCCAAAGGACCTTCATAGGCAATACATTGGTGGAAGTCAACACATCTTGTAAGGACATTCCTTCACAGGATACAATGGTTGAAATGGAGATGGCCAACATTCCAGAAATCCAAACAAATGAGAATTTCCTTCCTCAGATGAAGGAGAGAGTACAATGGAGTGGAGGTAAACTTTGGTCAGAACAAAGGGAAGATGATTTAGAAGAAAATCAGGTTCCTGTAGGGGCTAAACATGATGAAGAACCAGTTCTTGAAGAAAAAGAAGAAGAGGAAAAAAGTGTAAATGGAGAGGAAACTGTTATAGTCACAAATAAAGAAGAAATTGCTGCAGAAAAGAGGAAAACTGAAAGGGACAACAACAATGATGAAACAACTGTCCCAAAGGAAAAAATTGATGCAAAGGAACAACACACAACAAAACAGATTCAGGAAGGCAACACAGATCAGTTACATATAAAGGAAGGAGTTGGCACTGATGCAATTGATTCAGGAGGAACTGGGGATGGTGTAGTTGTAACTGGTAACTTGGAGCAATCTAGAATGCAGGATATGAAAGAGCAGACTTTGGTGCCTAATCTGCAACACAAGCATGATGTAAGTGTTGATGATGCTCAGAAGTTTAAGGAAGTAGAAGATAAAGATGCAAGGGCATGCCAAGATCTAGATGAGGAGTCCACAACTCAAAATTTCGAAAATGTAGCCAGACAAGGTGATTTGTCTCCCAGAATCATTGAGAAGGCCAAATCTGCAGCAAAGGGGAGGAAGAAACATCAGAAAGAGAACCCAACTGTGCCTGCAGGAGGAGTTCAAACAAGGAGAAATTTGTCACTTTCTTTATCCAAACAGTAATGGATGCTCTCATATGGAATATTAGATCAGTTAACACTCAGCAAGCATTTGAGATGCTGATCAAATCACATAGAAAGAATCACTATGAATTCATTGGTTTAATGGAGCTTATGCAACAAGCAAGAACTTTGGAAAAGTATAGAAACAGAATAGGCTTTGCTCAGGTGATTGCTAATGTATCAAATAAGATCTGGGCTTTCATAGATGAAGTATATGAGGTTACAGTTATGTATAACTTGGTGCAGCAGTTAACTCTAAGGTTATATCACTCTGAGACTCATGTGGAATTTGTTCTAATTCTGGTATATGCTAAGTGTGATGCTATTGAAAGGATTGAACTGTGGGATTCATTGTATTATATGGCATCAGATATGACTATTCCATGGTTAGTAGGAGGTGATTTCAATGTTATATGGGATGAGGAGGAAAAAATTGGAGGTCTTCTAGTACACTTGAATGAAATCGATGATTTCAGGCATTCTATAAATACTTGTAACCTGTCAGATCTTGGTTTTAAGGGTAGTATATTCACATGGTCGAATGGCAGGGCAGAGGAGGATTGTATTTTCAAAAGGCTAGACAGATGTGTGGCCAATGCAGAATTTCAGCAGATTTTTCCAGGTATTGAAGTTCAACATTTGGCAAAGATAGGGTCTGATCATAGCCCTATGCAGCTTAGATGTGATATAAAGAAACCCCCAGTCAAGAAACCCTTCAGGTTTCTGAATTTTTTGGTGGAACATGCTTCATTCAAAGAGGTAGTAAAGCAGAACTGGAATGCTGACTTCAGTGCAAACCCATATGTTCTGTTCAATCATAAGCTGAAGAAGGTCAAGAAGGCTCTATCTGGATGGAGTAAATCAACATATGGGGACATATTTCAAAAAATAGCTAGTTTGGAGGAGGTTGTAATTGTGCATGAAGCAGAGTTTGAAGCTAACCCTACAAAACAAAACAGACAAAGGTTGCAGAATGTACAGGCTGAATTGATCAGATATCTAGCATTGGAAGAAAAATACTGGAAGCAAAAATCTGGAATGTCCTAGTTTAAAGATGGTGACACGAATACTAAATTTTTCCATGCGCAAGTTAGAGGTAGAAGAAAGAAGCTGCAACTGTCCAGAATTCAAAACAGTCAGGGTATGTGGATAGAAGAAGAAGAGGAGATAGCTGCAGAAGCAATTCAATTCTTTTAGGATCAGTTCTCAGAATCTGCAGCACCTACATCTTTTGATATCATAAGACATGTTCCTTCATTGATAGATTCAGGCCAAAATGAAGATTTGATCAAGCAGCTAACGTTAGAGGAGGTAAGGGTAGCTGTATTTGGGCTTAATGGAGAGAGTGCAGGTGGCCAGATGGATTCACAGGGAAATTTTATCAGTCATGTTGGGATATTATAGGAGATGACCTGTTTGACATGGTGAGAGCATTCTTTAATGGGCATGAATTGCCAAAATGTGTGATCCATACTAACCTTGTGCTGCTTCCAAAGAAAAAAGAAGTTTGCACCTTCTCAGATCTTAGACCAATCAGCCTCAGTAACTTTACTAATAAGGTAGTGTCAAGGGTTATCCATGAAAGGCTTGTGGGGCTGCTACCTAATTTGATATCTGAAGAACAAGCTGGTTTTGTTAAAGGGAGGATCATTGTAGAAAATATTTTGTTAACTCAAGAGATTGTCACTGATATGAGACTAAGAATTAAGGCAGGTCCAAATGTTGTATTGAAGCTGGATATGACCAAAGCTTATGATAGGCTTTCTTGGTTGTTCTTGACTAAGGTTCTGAGAAAGATGGGCTTCTCTGAAAGATTTATTGGCATGGTTTTTGGCATAGTTTCAAATAACTGGTACTCAGTGCTGATAAATGGTCAAGCACATGGTTTTTTCAAATCATCAAGAGGGGTAAAACAAGGAGATCCTCTGTCTCCTACTTTGTTTATCTTAGCTGCTGAAGCACTCTCAAGGGGTCTTAATGCTCTGCATCTGAATTTGCATTTCTGTGGATATGGTTTACCTAAATGGAGCCCAAAGATAAATCATCTTACGTATGCAGATGATACAATTATTTTCTCCTCATCAGATGACACCTCCCTTAGGAACATAATGGAGGTACTTGCAGCGTATGAAGAAGCATCTGGACAGCTAGTCAATAAGGCAAAGTCAGCTGTGTATCTCCATCATTTGACTGATAGTGAAGTAGCAGAGAAGGTGGAGAGAGTTACAGGAATTAAAAGGCAGGAATTCCCAATTGTGTATTTAGGATGCCCTATTTTTTATTCAAGAAGGAAAATGGAATATTATCAGCCAATGATTACTAAGGTATTGGACAGATTACAATCATGGAAAGGCAAGCTATTGTCTATTGGGGGAAGGGCAATTCTCATTGCCCATGTGCTTCAGAGTATGCCAATTCATTTGTTATCTGCAGTCAATCCACCTGCATATGTGATTAATAGACTTCACAAGATTTTTGCTCAATTTTTCTGGAGTAGTTCAGTGACAGGTAACAACAGGCATTGGGCATCATGGAGTACCTTATGTATGCCACAGGAAGAAGGGGGTATTGGTTTTAGGTCCCTTCATGATGTAGCAAAAGCTCTGTTCTGCAAACTGTGGTGGAAATATAGAACAAAACCTAGTCTGTGGAGCTCATTTATGAGTCAGAAGTATTGCAAAAAGATGAATTCAGTGGTAGTGCAATGGAGAAAAGGATCACATGTTTGGAGAAAGATGTTGGAGTGCAGAGACCTTGTTGAACACCTGATCATTTGGCAACCAAGGATGGGTTCTTCTTTGTTCTGGTATGACAACTGGACAGGCTTAGGGGCTTTGTATTTTTTGATTCCTCAAAATTTTGGAGTTGATGAATCAGTCCATAATGTGTGGGATGTGGTGGATGGAGGAGAATGGAATACACAAAGGCTTTATGAAATATTACCTGAAGAATTTGCAGAACACATCATAGTAAACCTTCAGCCACCTGCAGCTCAAGGAGTCTTGGATGTACCTGTTTGGAGTTTGGAATCAAAGGGTCAGTTCAGTGTTAGAACAACATGGGAGTATGTGAGGAACAGAGCTGAACCAATGTCAGCTTATAAGAAAATTTGGGTGAAAGGTCTGCCATTTAAGATAGCCTTTTTCATGTGGAAAGTATGGAGGAACAAGCTGCCATTGGATGAGTTTTTCAGAAGACTTGGCTATCAGATGGCATCTAAGTGCTGGTGTTGTGCAGATCCTTTGGAGGAAACAACACAACACTTATTTTTTACATCATATGCTGCAAACAAAGTATGGAGGTATTACCTTGGGCATGCTGGTATTGTAACAGAAGGACTCACACTACACCAGGCAATTATCAAATGCTGGACTGCAGATGTAGTACCTCGACTGAAGCCAATTTTGCAAGCCTTGCCATCAGTCATAGTATGGGAATTATGGAAGAGGAGAAACAGTTATAAATATGGAGATGCAGTCACTATTAACAGGGTGGTGTACCAGATCTCTTCTACTCTGCAGTCATTGATTAAAGTAAGGAAGCCAGGAATTAGTCAGGTTTCTCATAGGTGGCCAGATATGTTGAAGATGATGGAGCAGTTCACACCAAATCTCAGGTATACAAAGGTGAATTGGGATTTTCCAGAACAAGGTTGGGTGAAAGTCAACACAGATGGAGCTTCAAGAGGTAATCCGGGAAGGAGTTCAATTGGTTTTGTCCTTAGAAATGAGGAGGGTGATGTCCTGTATGCATGTGGCAAGGAGATCCAAGAGGGCACAAATTCAGTTGCTGAAGCTAAAGCTATCTCTGAGGCTTTGAAATTTTGTGTACAGCATGACTATGTCTTGATTGACTTGCACACAGACTCTATGGTGCTGTAGAAAGTGATTACAGGAGAATGGAAGCCCCCTTGGGTCTTGGGAAGTCTGGTAGAGGAGATTATGGATTTGATGAAGAGGGCTAATGTTAAGATATCTCATACACTCAGAGAAGGAAACAAGTTAGCAGATCACATTGCAAATTATGCCCTGGACAATGGCCTGTTGGAGTGTTATGGATTTGAAGATTTGGATGTTCAGGGGAGAAAGTTGGTGAACTCTGATAAATTACAATGTCCATACATAAGAGTCTCAGCTTCAAGGAGATAAGAAGAGGTGGAGGAGCTACATAACCTGCAGAGGGGGATCAAAGGAGTCTATATAAACATCATCATACTCAAATCCTTTTGGAGGAGAGTATGATGAGATTTTTATCTAACAATTTTTTCTTTTTTGCAGGTACAAATGTTGCAGCTATGTTTTGGATCTTGAAGGAACTTTTTATGGTGGTATTAGTGCTTTGCACTCAGCCTAGAGAAGGAAACTCAAATCCAAACATAGCTACAGAAGAAAATCAGAAATTTCTGATGTCACTGAAGGTTTTCAGCAAATATAAGGTCACAACAGGAGCTTTAAAGCCCAGAATGTCTAATCGAAATGGGTTACCTGATCTTAGCTATGTCAGCAGCAGGGGTGGTACACTTATTAGAGGGGATAGGAGCATGGAGTGTATGTAGAAGGAAGGATCAGGTGGAGGAGCATTTCAGCAGAACAAGCAGGGTCCAGACTCTTAATCTGGTTTTGAGCAGCAGGGCATTCTCAGGGATAGGGAGTAATATGGGAGTTCAGGGGTTGGAAGGAAGGGGTCTAATATGGGGATCCACAGCAAGAGAGGGAGTAGTAGACACACATTGGGGTTCAGGGAGCCAGACAGGTGCTAGAGGAAAAGGAATGGTGACAGAAAATGAAAAGGTGAGGAAAAATGAAGTGCAGCAGCATAGCAGCTGCAGGTTATCTGTATGGCCTGAAGAAGTACAGGATACCTTATCATATGATTTGGTGTTGTCTGAACGCAGTAGAGGGATGATATTAGGGTGCAAGGAGCAGGTAATGAGGAAGGGTAAGGAAATAGGCAGAAAAACAAGATATACTCCAAGAGAAGATGGGGAACAAAGATGCTACTATGATGAACATCATGCTCAAATCCTGTTGGAAGAGAGCATGATGAAGTTTATTTCTAACAAAGTGTTCTTTTTTGCAGGAACAGTCTCTAGGCCCTATTGTTCACTGAAGTTCTTACTAGTTGTATTGGTGATTTTCACCCAACCTAGTTGAATGAAGGTAGAAATAGGATACAACCTAGAGGAACCAAGGTACAAAATTCAGACATCAAGCAACAGGACATATAGATCATTATGGCACATTAAGTCAGGGGTGCACAGCATAAAAAAATTCACAAGGAAAGGAAAACTACAAGCAATCGAGAAAAAAAGCACTCAAATGGTTGGGGTCACACCTGAACACACATTGTGTACAGTTGAGGTACATAAGATCAACTTGATGAAACAATCGTTGACATCATACATTGGGAATTGGTTAGCAGATCTTCAGTTTACATGGATTTTACACGACCTTATGAGGAGCTTGCTGCTGGTGGTATTAATACTTTGTACTCAGTCCAACACAAGTGAATTATGGGGGATTGTAATTACAGTTCAGGAAGTCATAGGTACTCAGTCATTAAGCTGGTATTGTTCTCGACTTTTGGACTACAGCAGAAGAAACATTCAGGAAATGGAGCTCATGCAATGCTCGCTGCAACTAAAATGGACAAGGCAAGGCACAAGGCAACCTTGGATAGGTTTTTCAAACAGGAGAGGATCAACAAGGAACAAGAATACAACACATCAACACAACAGAAAATGCAAAGAAGGAATTCAGAAGTGGAAATCAAGCAGACATATCATAATGGCGGAGGAAAACTACAACAAAGTAGAGGCAGATGGACGCGAAAAGCTGGAACACTATTACATTGGAAATGATCTCAGAAGGACATTTTGGCACTCACCCTTGATCTGGATATCATTTACAAATATGGCTAGATTAGTTACACATTTTGTGATGCCAATGTTGAATTCACTACTCAATATTGGTAATAGGATTAATGTAATCTTCATTTGTTATTATTTTCATAGCTTAAGACCTCCTGAGAAATTCATTGTATTCTTT